AATAACGATGAAAAGTTGAATATCTAGAGAATGAAAACTGATAAAAAAAAAGTGTAAATTGCATTCTCCTACATTTGTGGAGCTTTTTCTTTAGGGGTCATTATGTTGTTTGGATTGAGGTTCCCTTTAATGTACTGCATATTTTGGGAGATATACATGAATGTATCATAAAATGTACAGTGTACAAAGATGTACATGTGCACTCAAATATACTATTTCATTAGAAACAATAAGGACTCTCCTGTCATGACTTGTTAATTCAAACTTGGTATGTCCATTGAATATGTCTGTTCCTCGATGAATGTCATTTCTTTTCTTGATTTGATTATAAAAAGCTGACTGGTGGCCATTTTGTTTTAGCAAATGCAGTTTCTGAGCCATATGACATGTCTTGACCAATCACATCCAAACTGTACATGTATATCATTTAATACATATACGCATGGACTCAGATTGATACTGTACTCGAGCTGAGTGAAAATATCAAGAGATAATTATGTTCCCGTTCATGTGAAGTCTATGACGTTTATTTCCACTGTGTAATACCAGTCTTAAAACATATTCACAATCCATATACAAAAATCATTAAAACATATTCAACTTGAATTGTCGCAGTTCACATTTTTGACTCCCGTGTGCGAAGCACAAAAGGGAGTCTTTGCAGTTACCCTGTCTGTCTGTATGTCTGTATGTCTGTCTGTCTGTCTGTCTGTCTGTCTGTCTGTCTGTCTGTCTGTCTGTCTGTCTGTCTGTCTGTCTGTCTGTCTGTCTGTCTGTCTGTCTGTCTGTCTGTCTGTCTGTCTGTATGTCTGTATGTATGTCTGTATGTATGTATGTATGTATGGCACTTTTTTGTTCCACCGTTATCTCAAGAACCACTAATCAAATTTTGGTGAAACTTGGTACATAGATGCTCTGGGATAATGCGCAGAGTTGATTAGGTTTTGGTAAAAATCTATGAATATTAATTACCTAATTTGCATGATAATTAGCTGATTTTTAGCTGTTCCAAGACTGTTCCACTGATATCTGAAGAACCACTCATTGGATTTTGATGAAACTTGGCACATGGATGCTCTGAACTAGTGCACAGATTTGAGTAGTTTTGGGTAAAAATCTATAAATATTAATTACCTAATTTGAATGATAATTAACTGATTTTTAGCTGTTTCATGACTGTTCCACTGATACATGTATTTGAAGAACCACTCATTGGATTTTGATGAAACTTAGCACATGGATGCTCTGAACCAATACGCAGATTTGATTAGTTTTGGGTAAAAATCTATGAATATTAATTACCTAATTTGCATGATAATCAACTGATTTTAAGCTGTTCTATGACTTCCACTGATTTTTGAAGAACCACTCATTGGATTTCAATGAAACTTGGCACATGGATTCTCTGAACTAATGCGCAGATTTGATTAGTTTTGGGTAAAAATCTGTTAATATTATTAATTACCTAATTTACATACCGGTAATGATTAATCAATTTTCGGCTTTTCCACTGATATCTCAAGTACTAATCATAACATTTCAATAAAACTTTGTACATAGATGTCATATGAGACTGCACAGACCTGATAGTTTTTAGGGTAATATCAGTACATATTAATTACCTAATTTTCAGCTTTTGATATTTCGAGTAGTAATGATTACGTTTCAATGAAACTTGGTACATAGTTACTTGAGGACTGTGCAGAGACCTAATTAGTTTTTGGGTAAATATTTGTGCATATTAATCACCTTATTAGCATAATTAGTTAATTTTCAGCTTTTCACCTGATATCTCAAGTACTAATCATCACATTTCAATGAGACTTGCGACATAGATATTCTAGGACTATACAGAGACCTGATTAATTTTGGGATGAATAATTGTGCCTGTTAATTACCTAATTTGCATAATTAGTTAATTTTTTGCTGTTCTATGGCTGTTACACTGATGTCTAAAAACCACTCATTGGATTTTAATGAAACTTTTAAAGAGTACCCATCACATTTCAATGAACCTCGGACTATACACCATATTAGTTTTTGGTAAATATTTATGCTTCTTAATCACCTAATTAACATAATTAATACTGATAACTCAAGTATTGATCATCACATTTGAATAAATGCTCTAGGACAATAGACAGCCTGATTAATTTTGGGTTAAAATTAATATTTTTTTGGTTCTAATCACATTTCAATGAAACTTGGTACATTGTGCAGACCTTATTAGTTTTACACTTAAATCTGTTCATATTAGTTACCTTATTTGCATAATTAGTTTTCTGCGTTTCCATCAACATCTCAAGTTCAAGTAATTTTTAATTAATTTTTAATGTGTCTCCAATACTCTCAGCACACAGGAGTTCTTTCTAAGCTTTCTTTGATTCCCAATTGTACAAAGAAATCTATTGGGAGGTAATTTACTTGAATGTCCTTCAGACGTTGTAAACATTCATGCAATTCATATTGGTTTTTATTGCAGCTTGATGATCATATTGCACACTGTCCACTTGCACCATGTCATTGTCAGTTTTCTGAAATTGGATGTACTTACAAGGTAAGAAAATCATATGAGTACACCACCACAACCTTTGTACAGTAACTTCACCAAGGGAAGGTGGTCTTTATAGACAGTTGGTCTTTTTATGGAGGTTAGATTATTGGCGTTATTATTGCTATTAAAATCACTTTTGTGTGTGTGTCTGTGTGTGTATGTGACTTTCTGTGTCTTCACGTATTAATTCTTCTGTGATTTCACTCAAACTTGGCAGGCACCTCACACCTTAACTCTTAGGTGGTAAAATCTGAAAAATACCAAAAAACTGATTTTAGAATAGCCTCGTGCCATATGTATCTCCTTCTACAAATCTAGGACTAAAAATGTTGGACATACCGGTAGCTCATTTTACTCAGCTTGAATGTGGGCACATCACATAGTTACTATTTTTGATATCTTTTTTCATAACCAAGCAATTTGACCTCAAAGTTGGGGTAACTTTTCACCGATAACTGCAATTTTAACTCCGCTGTGATTTTTTTTTGGCTGGGACAATTTTGTTCATACTTGGCAGACAGGTCATACCAACACTCTGGTTAGGTGGTAATATAGGCAAAAAAATTCCTGATCCATCATTGCCATGGCAACAGCCAAAAAACTGATTTTTGAATACTTTCAAACAAATGTATTACCTCCTACCAGTCTTGTAATAGCCAACATTGTTACACTGTATCAACATAAGTCCCAACGCAACTTTGAACTTTGAATGAACTGTAAACGCTGCTTTCAATTAAAGAATCTAGAAAATACAATAGCAACTTACGGTCAGAAATTATAACAGCAAGTAATAAAGTGAATGAACTTCTGAAGACTGAATGCTGTCTGCAAATTTCTATTACCAGTCTTAGTTATAAACCAACTTTAGCTTCACATTCATGTCCTACCATGGAAACAGATGAAAACATGTTTTTTTTTTTAGTGAATTGCAAGCCAGCCTACCGGCTTGTTTTTTATGCATCACCAACTCATACGGTTGACATATATAATAATGAAATCAAATAAATTTGACTTGAGAATATTAAATTGTTTTATAGAAAGAAATGCAGGGTGCTAATTGAATCCCATGTGCGAAGCACAACAAGGGAGTCTTTGCAGTTAGTGTGTCTGTCTGTGTGTGTGCGTGTGTGTGTGTGTGGGTGTGTCTGTGTGTGTGTGTGTGTGTGTGTGTGTGTGTGTCTGTTCCATCGATATCTCAAGAACCAATGTTCTGATTTCAATAAAACTTGGTATGTAGCTTGTCTGGGGCAATGTGCAGATTTGATTAGTTTTTGGTTGACATCCATGCATATTAATGAGCTCATCTGCATAATAATGTGTGAATTTTAAGCTATTACAGTTATATCTCAAGAAGCATTAAAACGATTTTTATGTAACTTGGTAAGAATGTTACTAATGATGATTGTTGTATTTTACATTTTAATTAAAATTTAGCATTTTTTATGTATTTTTTTATTATTTTTTTTATGCCCAATTGCATGAATACAACTAATAGGAATCGGTGAGTGGACTAATTTGCATAATGATGCGCATGCGTATTCTATTTTTTATGACCAGCAATGTATGATGGTGTCAGCCATTTTGTTATTTCCAGTGTGTTGTACAAAATCAAAGCAAGCGCTCGGGAGATGAAATGTATCAGTTTACATTATGAAAAGGTCTAAGAAATTACATGTATGATTTTTTATTATCGTATAAGTAAATAAATAAATAAGTAATTGAACAAATGTATAACCTCAATGACTGTGAAACGAATTACTGTACAAACTAGCTTACATTCACGTGTGGTGTACAATTACATT